CCTCCCTCCCTCCCCCACCCCACCCAGGGCCTCACCAGAGAGAGGGGAAGGCGGCTGCCCGCCCCCTTGTGGTAGCGCTCGGAACTCCCAAACTGCAGCTCGTCCCAGCGGATGCGCCAGAGCATGCTCGCCAGCTCCTTCTCCAGCATCAGCTTCCTGCGGAGGAGAGAGCACCCCAGCGGCCCTCAGGGCGGGTTAGGGTCCCCCGGGCTCAGGACCCTCTTGTGCCACTCCAAGAGCCCCTCCCACCACCACCACCACTCCGCCTAGCACATTTCCATGCCACGCAGCGGGCTCTGCCTCGCCCTCTCAGAGGAGGAACTTACTGCGCCCCGCCGGGAAGCCCCCCTCCATCCCATCCCTTGCGGACTGCCCTCCGCTCACGGTGGTCCCCACAGGCAGACTGCCTCTGGAGATGGAAGCTCCGTTCCGCCAGCCGTGCTCATCAGCACTGACCGCCTGGCCCTTCCTGTGCCTGCCCAAATCCTTGCTTAAGACCGTCCAGATAAACTCAGGGCCACACGTGGAAACAAAACCCCCAAAGTAAAGGAGGGTGAGTGAGTGCGACCGGGCTGGGTGCTGGAGTGACCCACGCTCCTCCCTACTCTCGGGGCACGGCTCAAAGCCCTGCAGTCAGCCACGCCCTGCCCTCGGGGGACGCCGGGGGGGGTGTCTGTGTGCGTAGCGCTGGAGTCCCACATCCCCCCCAACCCCCAAGGGGCAGGGTGGCCACAGGGAGAGGAAGGCCAGCTGCTCCCTGGTTCTGAGCCTCCCGTTTACAGGGTTGCATCCGGAGCCTGCCTGCCATGGGGGGCTGGGGGGGGGCGTTTGGGTGCAGCCTTGGGGCCGAACCACAGGGGAGGGGAAGGGAGGAGAGGCTCCCGGATGCCACCAGGGCTGCCCTAGGCTCCCCAGCCCAAATGAGGCAGGCGGGCAGGGGGGAGGGGAGAAGCCAGGGGATCCCGGCCCCGAGAGGGGCCCCCTCACTCAGCTGAGCCAGGCAGAGGCCCTCCAGGCACAGAGTCAAACCCCTGCCCCCCCCAACACACGCCTCACCAACTGGCCCCCCGGGGTGGGGGGAGGCCCTGGCCCGTGGCTCACTCACCTGAAGACCAGGAAGCTGGACACTCCAAACATGATGAAGGTGAGCCCGGCTCCCAGCGCCACGATGGCCAAGGTGGAGAGCGGAGCTGCAAGAGGAGGAGGAGGAGGAGGAGGCGGCACTGCTGGGAGGAGGAGGAGGAGGAGGGGGACACCCCCGGGGGGGGCACCCTAACCCAAACCAAACCTCCCCGGCAGCCAGAGCCCTCTGTGGAAACCCGAGTGTGTGTTGTCCCCCTCCCCCGGGTGGTCTGCCCCACCTCTCACCCAGGAGCTTCAGAGGCAGGCGGCAGGCCACGGGGCAGCCCACGGGACGCCTCTCCCTCGCACAGAAGACCGGCTGCCCTCCTTCGCCTGCCTCCTCCCAGGCCTGCCGGCAGGGGACTGGCTCCGGAGACACATGCCGCCTCCCAGCAGCTGCGCCTGGCACCCCTGCTCAGGCAGAAGGGCCCAGGGGGCACGCGGGGCAGCAGGCGGTGTGGGGGGAGGCAGAGGCCGCGTGGGGGAGGCAGAGCCTCCAGGCCCACCCAGGAAGGGGCTGCGGCTTCAGCCCTGATGGAAAGAGTTGGACACGGCCTTGGCTGACCCGCCCCCAAAACCCTGGGGGGGGATAGGGTTAGAGGGCAGGAGGGGGGAGAAGCCTCTGGCCACACCCACTTTTATCACAGGTGGGGTCGTCCACGTCAAAGACACAGGGCGGGTTGTCGAGAGGAGGCCCCCCCTTCTTCCAGTGGATGGGCCCCAGCCAGTTCATCTGCTTCTCTGATCCCACGTAATGGCCCACCACCTGTGGGAAGAGAGGACATCTGACCAGTGCTCCATACCTCGTCCCGGGTCCAGCCCCATGCAGGAGGCCAGCCAGTCTCTCTCTGGAGGGCCAACAAACAGGGCAGAGAGGCCGAGACCTTTCCCTGATGAGAACTTCAGAAGAGCCCTGCTGGGTCAGACCAGGGAGGGTCCCTCTAATCCAGCCTCCCGTCTCACACAGTGGCCAACCAGTTCCTCTGGAGGGCCAACAAAAGAGCAGAGAGGCCAAGGCCTTCAGAAGAACATCAGAAGAGCCCTGCTGGATCAGACCAGGGAGGGTCCCTCCAGTCCAGCCTCCCGTCTCACACAGGGGCCAGCCAGTCCCTCTGGAGGTGCAAGAACAGGGCACGGAGGCCGAGGCCTTCCCCTGAGAAGAACACCAGAAGAGCCTTGCTGGGTCAGACCAGGGAGGGTCCCTCCAGTCCAGCCTCTCACACAGGGGCCAGCCAGTTCCTCTGGAGGGCCAACAGCAGGGCAGAGAGGCCGAGGCCTTCCCCCTGAGAAGAACCTCAGAAGAGCCCTGCTGGATCAGACCGGTGAGGGTCCATCTAGTCTATCATCCCATCTCACACAGTGGCCAGCCAGTCCCTCTGGAGGGCCAACAGCAAGGCAGAGAGGCCGAGGCCTTCCCCTGGTCTTGCATCTCGGCCTTGGGATTCAAGGGTTGGCTACCTTTGAGCACGGAGGTTCCCCTGACGCACCATTGCTGGCAGCCCCTGAGATGGCCTCTTCTCCATGAATCTGCCCAGTCCCCTTCCAGAGCCCTTTCTGCTCCTGGCCCCCACGGCCCCTCCCAGCAGCGCATCCCTCCAGTTCCCCCAGCAGGCAGGATGCCAGAATGCCCCTTCCCTACCTCTTCCTCATGTGATGAAGCTTCTGCACAACTTCCAGGGCAGATGGAGCAAAGATGGGGGGTGGTGCGGTCCAGACCTCACCCCTCTGTCCTCCCTGAAGCCCACCCGGGATTCTCTGCGGGGCGGCTTGGGGGACCCCTCCCCCCTCCCCCCCGCTCCCCCCCCCCGGGCTGGCCCCTTGCCCTTCCTCCCTACCTGGTATTCTCCCGTCTCCACGTTCGCCATGGCCCACACATCGAAGTCCGTTTCCCGGTCATTGTTGTGGTCCATGCTCACGGTCCCAGTGACGCCTGGTCAGGGAGGGGGAGAAGAGCACCGTTCCTGGGAGGCCCCTGGTGCCAGCTGCCATGCACGCACGCACGCCTCATCATCGGGGAGGAGAAGCAGCTGGGGCCCTCCAGGCCAGGCGCTGGGGACCAGCACACAGGCGCCCCCCCCCCGCCCAGCAAGCCAGCCCACTCCCTGCCCACTCCCGCCACCTTCCCTCTCCTGCTTCCTCCCGGGGCTTGGGGGACCACAGCCCAGGCTCTCTGGCGGGTTCACGCCAGCAGCCCCCTCCTTGCTGGGCAGCAACCAAGTCGGCCCCCGCTGGCCGCCTCCCCCCTCCCCCGCCCAGTGCCCAGTACCCTGGAATTTCCGGCCCTTGATCTTCTGGAGGATGCGGCTGGAGTCACGCTTAGTCCCGCCTTCGCGCAGCGTCTCATTCAGCACGGTGGTGTAGAGGAGGAGCGCGTCGTGGAAGCAGCCGGCCACCAAGTTCTTCTGCATGGGTGGGAGAGGGAGAGAGAGGTCAAGGGCCACTCTCCCACGCCCACCTGCCCTCTCCATGCCCAGCCTCCCCCTTGCCCCTGAAGCTCGTCGTCATCACCGGGGAGGACTGAGGCCCAACTGGGCTGACGGAGCATCCCGCCATGTCCTGGGGGGGCCCTGCAAAGATCCCCCACAAACCGGCCAGTAGGCAGGAGGGTCACGGGTGACTCCAGACCAACGGCTTCTCCTGGACTCACTTTGGCCGCGGTGGGGGCCACGTGGTGGCGCGTTCTCTGGCGGAACCCCATCCCCTGCACTGGGCAAGCTCAGCTCTGGCAGCCCGTCCCAGGAATGCGAGTCAGGGGCTGGACCCTTACCGCCCTAGTTCTTCACGGGCACCGGAAGGGACGGCTCAGCCGGGACCCACCCGTGGCTTTGGCCTAACGTGGCTCTGGGCAGCCCCCTTCGCTCGGGATGCCAGCACAGCCCCTGGCGGGCGAGGGGCCCATGCTCAGATGGTCCGGAGGAAGGCCTTTCTTAGCCTCTGCAGAGGTCTCCTCTTTGGCTCTGCTTTACCCCAAGAAGCTCAGGAGGAAGGCCCCCTCGGAGGCAGGCCAGGCTGCAGGAGTGTGACCAGCCCACAACTCCCCCTCAGCCCATATCTGGTGTGGCCCCCCCACCTCACCCCTTTGCGGGCAGCTCTGCCCGGTTTCCAAGGCCGGAGGCCAGGTGGCTTCTCATTCCCCACCTCTGCGCAGAGCCCCGGGACGCCCTCGAAGGTCTCCCAAATACCAACTGGGGCCAGACCTGCTT